TATTTGAAAGGCAGAGTTACAGAGAGGCAGAGGCAGAGAAAGGGAGAGAGGTCTTCCATCCGCTGGCTCACTCCCCAATTGGCCGCAATATCAAGGGCTGAGATGGTCCAAAGCCAGGAGCCAGGAACTTCTGGGTCTCCCACACAGGTACAGGGGACCAATGACATCTTCTACTGTTTTCCCAGGCCATAGCAAAGAGCTGGATTGGAAGTGGAGCAGCCAGGACTCAAACCAACACCCATATGGGATGCTGGCACTACAAATGGTGACTTTACCTGCCATGCCACAGCACCGGCCTCTCTTTGTAGCTTTTTATATAAATCTAAAAATATTCTGGGATCAAAAGGTCATTTTAAAAAATTCTTGGGGCTGGTGCTGTGATGTCTCTGGGGCCGGCACTGTGGCATAGTGGGTAAAGCTGCCACCTGCAGTGCCAGCATCCCATATGGGTGCCGGTTCAAGTCCTGGCTGCTCCACTTCCAATCCAGCTCCCTGCTATGGCCTGGGAAAGCAATGGAAGATGGTCCAAGTCCTTGGGCCCCTGCACCCACGTGAGAGGCCTGGAGGAAGCTCTTGGCTCCTGACTTTAGATTGTCTCAGCTCCAGCCTTTGCAGCCATTTGGAGACTGAACCAATGGATGGAAGACCTCTCTCTCTCTCTCTCTCTCTCTCTCTCTCTCTCTGCTTCTCTGTAACCCTGCCTTTCAAATAAGTAAATAGAGATCTAAAAAAAAAAAAAAGAGGTACCAATTATGCCATAGCTGCTCCACTTCTGATCCAGCTCCCTGCTAATGCACCTGGGAAAGCAATGGAAAAGAACCCAAGTGCTTGGGCCCCTGCACCCACATGAGAGATTTGGAAGAAGCTCCTAGCTCCTAGCTTTGTCCTGGCTCAGCCTCAGTCTTTGTAGCCATTTGGGGAGTGAGCCAGCGACTAGAAGATTTCTCTCTCCCCCCTCCTTTCTTTCTGTATCTCTGCCTTTCAAATAAATAAATAAATGTTTTTAAAAAATATAAATTTTTTTCTTTTCATCTTCTATTTATTTAAGGTATTAACAGTTGTGTTTTCCCCTTGTATTTTCTCCTAATTTAGTCTCATTTCTAAAATGACTTTTTCTCCCACTTCTAACTGTCCTCCTGTTGTTCTAATTCTGATTGATGCCGTATGGTGTGAGGCGCTTGGCTCTCCTCGCACACCTCCCTGACCTGCATGCTTTCATGATCTGTTGCTGTGTGGTAACACAACTATTCCTTTTCCTCATACAAGATTTTTTTTTTTTTTTTTTTTTGGACAGGCAGACTGGACAGTGAGAGAGAGAGACAGAGAGAAAGGTCTTCCTTTGCCGTTGGTTCACCCTCCAATGGCGCCGCGGCCGGCGCGCTGCGGCTGGCGCATCGCACTGATCCGAAGCCAGGAGCCAGGTGCTTCTCCTGGTCTCCCATGGGGTGCAGGGCCCAAGCACTTGGGCCATCCTCCACTGCACTCCCGGGCCACAGCAGAGAGCTGGCCTGGAAGAGGAGCAACCGGGACAGAATCCGGCACCCCGACCAGGACTAGAACCCCGTGTGCGGGCGCCGCAAGGCGGAGGATTAGCCTAGTGAGCCGCGGCGCAAGCCAATCAAACAAGATCTTACATTGGCGCTTTGCTGGCGGTTATGTTAGTATGCGTTTCAGGGTTTTTTATTTTGTTCAAATAGCTTTTATAATCTCACCGAGCTCGCTCCTCTGTTGTCTTGTGCAGCATCCAGCAGCCCTGGTCTGCAGTCCAAAATAAGAAAATTGCTTGAAATCATTTTCCTGCTCTTTCCCCCTGCCCCGCTCTCACAGGAGCCTTCGCTTTCTGAGGTTTCCTTTGTCCTTTTCTCACTCAGTTCCGATTCCTCTCCTGGAAGCTTCTTCTCCGTGCGTGCGGATCCCGTCTTCGAACGGCACACCGCAGGCGACTCCGTTCCGAGAGTTCCTGTTCAAAAAGGCTGGCGGTGCCGCAGCCCTCTAAGCCTCACCACACGCCCTGTGTCCTCATCCGCTATTGAGGCGAGCTCCCCGTAGTGAGTGTTCGCAGCTGCTCTCACGCCGAACCCCAGCTTTTCACCAGGTCGGAAGTCTCCGCCTCATTTCTCAGATCCTGCCAATGCCCTGTGCTTCTCTCTGCTCTCTCCCTCACAGATACCCACGCCGCATGGTTGGTCGCTGGGGCCCCTGGTCTGCTGTCGGTGTCGTCCCTAGGTCTTCCGTTTGATCAGTTGCTGGCCGGCAGTTCAAGCAGATTCCTGAACTGTGCTGCCCACTCCTGCCATCTTCTCCGGAATTCCAGTCTCTGTCATCTTTCAAATCAGAACAGCCATGGGCAACTTGAAACATTCTGGTTACTTGTGTATTCCTTGTGGAACTTAACCACACTGGCAGAACTTAGAAAAAAGAACCGGTTGAGATGATGAAGCACGCCCAACATATTAGCACTAATAACGTATATAGCATTTTGTGTATTTTTTATTAAATTATTTACTGTGCATTTCCAGTGTTTAGTACCTAATCTTCACAGTGACCATTTTGCTGGCTGAAGAATGTCCCAGTGAGTAAGCGGACCAAGATGTACTCGATCTGCCCCTTATTATTGGACACATGAGCTGTTTCCATTTTTCTGCTGCCTCGGATGATGCTGTCATAAATACCTTTGTACACTTGGCTGGTAGTGTTGTTGAATTATTTCCTTGTGATAATCCCAAGAGCAGGATGACTGGGTCAAGGGTAGGAACATCTCCCTAGCTCTGGCAATCTATAATTTGAAAATGTGCTTTGAGAATTATTTTTCTACTTGTAGGGTAAAGGTTGAGGCTCGGTGGTTAGTGGAGGAGCATGTGGAGAGAGGCCTGTTTTCAAGGGTCACTGCTAATCCACACTTTCTCCCAGTCCTCACTCTTCCCTGTCAGCTTGCGTTCATTTTACCAACACTGGCTGAGGGCCTACTGTGTGCCGGTCACTGTGGTTTCTCTACCACATGGCGTGAACCCCAGATGTATTTGTGTTCTGATCAAAGAACAACCCAGCACTGGTGACATGAAGGGGCCAGTCCACGTGGGCGCTGGCCTGGTTCCTCTGAGGAGTGTGAACGGGCTATGCTTGTCCTCCCCAGGGTGCTCCCCCGCCCTCCTGCCGGGCCCGAGGCTCTGCATACCATAGGCTCTCTTCCCTGGTCTTGGCCCGGTCTTGGCTAAGGTTTAGCCTCATGCTAGCATAGGCTTGAGTAGAAAAGCGAGGACCTAAGCAAGATCATCTGCACCAGCTGAGCCGTTGCCCAACATAATCTTGTTACTTTTATCTCAGAAAACCAGTAAGCCAGAACGAATCCCCACGGGTCTCCTAGCCACAGCTTGCCAGCTGTGCTGACTCAGTGCCTGCACTTGACTTTCAGCCTCAGTCTCCTTCAGCCTGACTTCCTAGGGCCCCCTGAAAGCTGAGTCTTATCCTGAACCCAGGTCCTCTCTGCTTGGGTTCTGAGTCCCTGTCTGTACTGGTCACAGAGGGGCTGGACCCTGTTCCCCAGCCCCAGGCACCAATTGTTTGGCTTTGCACATTCAGTTGCCTGAGTATTGCAGACCCAGATGCTGTGCCTGTGCCTGTCTTTTGCCCCATGGCCACTCCTTACCACTTATGGAGCCCAGCAGTCACTCTGCCCCAGCCTGGCTGGAATCCACACCTTCACAGCCCCTGCAGAGACCAGTTGATTCCTGAGATCAGCCCATGTGGCTGAGGAGCCTGTGTAACTCATGTACACACCTGCTAAGTTCATGGTCAGTATTTGGAAGGTGAGGCAGACAAGGGCCAGAGAGTAAATAGTACCCAAAAAAGTCAAATAGTAAGTTCCTATCATATCCAAACCCAGGGCCCAAGCTCCTCACTCAGAGAAGGAAACCAGTAGACAGGAGAACAGAGGATGAACTTAGGGCTGGATTCCAAAGTGGAGGCCAATTGGGAGTCCTGAGACCCTCAGAGTGGGGGAGAAAAGAAGGCCCTAGGATCTGAGAAGAAGAAGAAAAAAAAGATAAATTCCACTTCTCAACACTGGGGCATGAAGTTGGGAATGTATGAGCACTGGGATTGATTTTAGGTGGAGCCCTAGCCTGTCAAGCTGGATCAACGTAAATCTCCAGCTCTTTCCAGGCACCTGGAGAAGAGCTGGGCCCTTAGGACACATGCAGAGGCCAAGGAGAGAGAAAGAGCAGGAAACTGAGGAAGGATACATGGGTCGGGAGCTAGGGCAGACCTGGCCCACGTACATGCTCAGGTAACCCACAGATCAGTTGAGGCCTGTCTGCGTCAGGAGTGTTGGGTAACAGTTAAGCAGAATGCATATCACCATGGCCTGTGGAAGTCTAAACGTCCTCCAAGATTTCTGTAAATCGTCAAGGCACAGAAATCCTTATGTCCTGGCCTCTCCGAGATAAGGTTCTTTGAGTACAGTCATTGCTCTGCACTACGTCAACCTAAGTAAAAAATTTAGCCCTTTTAGGAAAAAAAATTCTTAACATACCATATCTGAGATTAGTTACTTTGCTGAAGATGTGGGGGGTGCAAGGTGCAGTCACAGGAAGTTAGTTTCCTCACTTCTCCCTGTACCATGAACCCCTAAAAACCCTCACCATACACCCCTGCTCTTCTGTATCCTGTTCGCCACCCCCTGGGGTGGCTCCCTGCACTGGCCCCAAGACCACTTCTCCCCCTACTGCACTTCACCCTCACACATCTCCTGGTTCCTGTCGTCCCTCTCCCTCTCTGTTTTTTTTCCTTTCTCCCAAGCCTCTCCAAAGTCAGGCATAAATGCCTTTCCTTATCTCATGCAATGAGGCCCTGGGTGGAGGGGACAGTCCGGCTCCCCACTGCTTCTTTATCAAACTCTCCCTTCAAACATACATTCCCTTCCCAGGGAGGACTTCAAAGGCCAGATGTGAAGGTAATTCAAAAAATTTTCCACCTCAATACACATGCACAAAAAACGCATACAGAATTCTCCTGCAGCATGTTTCGTACCAGATCAAGCACCGTGATTGTCCTGTTCAAAATGGCCTAATGGGAAAGTTTAGAACATTCTGATTCAGGAGTGTGCCCTTGGCCAAGTCAGCTGAGCCCCAGAACCGAACATGGGAAACCTCAATTTGTCCTGTACCTCTTGAAGGCATTTTATAGATTGCTGTTCCAGGAAAGACACCCAAAACAGGTGCTGCTTTTGTCAGGGGAGCCAACAAAGTGGGACCTGTGTCAGTCAGAAAGTTCCAAGGCTGTGTGGACTCTTAAGGCAGTCTCAGGTTGCAAACTTTGGGCTGAAATGTGATATCAATCCAATTGCAGAAATTGTTCGATGGTCACTTCATGTGATCCAATCAGGTGACCAGGCGAGCACTGAAGCTTCAAGATAGGTGGCTTGTTCCAGTTACTACCTAGTGGTGTAAAACGACAAGCGGTTTATTATTCTCAAGGGTTACACGGGTCAGGAATTCAGGGAGGGCACACCAAGGACAGCTTGTACTTCTCCACAATGCCCAGAGCCTCAGGAGGGAAGTCTCCAAGGCTGAGGGTTGCTGAGTCTCTCACTCATGCGGCTGGTATTTGATGCTGGAACATTCACAGCTGGCCTCCCATCTGGGCTATCTCATGGCCTGGCAGTTCGGTTCTGTGGGAAGAAGTCTCCGAGCTCCCTACCTGCTGGTGTGCACAGCCTTGTGTAATCCCACCCCCTTGAGGAACTTGCTCCTGACCACTAGTATTTGGCAACATGGAAGGGATGTTTCTTCCATGATTAGTTTACAAAAGCTGGTGACTTCTCTTTCTCTGCCTCTCTTTGGCTTTGAGGAATAAAGCTGCCATGTGGGACAGGCTCCCATGTTCAGGAATGAAGGGTTGTCCTGGCCAGCCAGGGAGGAACTGAGGACTTCGGAGGACTGAATCCCACCAAAAAGCCACTTAGGTGGCCTTGGAAGTGAATCCTCCTCCATGCAAACTTTCAGATAAGACCCCAGCCCTGGCTGAAATCTTGATGACAGCCTTGAGAGAGAGCCTGATGTAGAGAATTCAACTAAGCCACAGTTGAATTTCTAACTCAGAGAAGCTATGAAATGGATAATAAATATGTGTTGTTTTAAACTGCAAAGTTTTGGATTGGTTTGTTTTGTAGCAATAGATATCTGATACCAGTTACAGAAGCAAGCATCTCACGAGAACCCAACAAAATCTGCATCACCTTTTATGACATGGGCTCAGAAGTCACGCAGCATCACTTCCCCCAAAGTCGCAAGCCTGCCCAGACCCTGGGAGTTGGGTCCAGGTGCCATCTCACCGCAGAGGGAGAGCACAGGTGTGAGCGTGTCACCACAGGGAGCGCGCGGGCCAGGAGAGATGTGTCCATCTTCGGAAAATGCAGTCCACCACAGGTTCTATAGCATGGCCTGATGTGTTCCTGTGTTAGTTTCAAGAAAGATTTATGTCGTGCTATTTTAAGATTTATATTGTCTGTGTGCCTCCCATAATGCCTCCTCAGCTTTTAATAAATGCCCATACAACTTCTCAGCATGTCACAATATCCCTCCTGCAACTAGGGATACTTCAGAACCATCATTTCCAAGAATATGACTATCTGAAGTACAAGATTTTCTCCACTTAAGAAAGACTTCCGATGGATTACAACATCGCACTGGCCGCAGGCTGAAACAGTCCCCCATTGCCCCACACTGTGTGCCAGTCGAAGGGAAACAGCACAGTGAGCGAGCAGAATGCAGTAGGGGAAGCAGTGAACACTCGGGCCAGGCTGACTCCAGTGCTGCTTCCAGCTGCTCCAAAACTCCGCTCACTTCCACTGGTTCCGAGAGTCGCTGCATTTACTGAGACCTGACCTGGCCTCTCTAGCAGAAGGGAGTGCTTACCAGTACCCTGACACTTCTAAAATATGTCAGAGGGCACCAGCTTGTAAATTCACACTTCTATTTAATGCCCCCACCAATGAAACCTGAGCCCCATCCTAGCCAAGAAATAGAAGCCTAGATGCTGAGACATTGAAGAAACCCAGGCTGGTATCAAGTCCCCTAGTGGGTGCATACATGGTCCACCCCTTTCTCCTGTACTTTGCACCTCTGCCTGGCTCTCCACGGGAGACTTTGTCCAAACACCTGCTTCTCTCCGGTGTGACTTTCCTGAGCCTGCGCTCAACCCCGGCATGAGCTGCACTGAAGCTGTCACCATTTCCCCTTTGTTGAAACTTCCAGCGCGACATTACTAAATGGTTGGAGAAAAGAGAGAAATGTAAAATCCAACAATTTTGCTGAGATTCCCCAGGCCCCTGGTTCAAAGTCTCCATGTCTCTCTGCTGTTGCCAGGAGCAGGGGCCGGCAGCCTCCCCGCAGTGGGTGCGAAGCTCCAGACAAAGGAGCTGGTCATTTCCCTACAATCCAATCCAAGGCCCACATCCCGAGTCCTGATTTCCTGCCTTCGGATTGATCTTGTTCCTGGTGGACCTGAGAAATAAAGCGTTCATTTCATTTTTTTAAACGATTTATTTCTTTCTTTGAAAGGCAGAATTACAGAGGGAGAGACAGAGAGACAAGAGAGAGAGGTCTTCCATCCACTAGTTCACTCCCCAGATGGCCACAAGGCTGGGACTAGGCCAAACCATAGCCAGAAGTCTGGAGCTTCATCCAGGTCTCCCACATGGGTGCAGGGGCCCAAGCACTTAAGCCACCCTCCACTGCTTTCCCAGGCCATCAGCAGGGAGCTGGATCAGAGGTGGAACAGCCAAGACTCGAACTGGTGCCCATATGAGATGCTGGCGCTGGCTTGACCCACCACACCACCACATCAGCCCCTGAAACCTCCAACTCCTAAACAATCTCAGAACAAGCACAGTGACCGCAGAATACTGCATGTACAATGCTAACAGCTGAGTCAAAGCCGATCCCCATAAATTCCAGTTCTTTCCGTCATTCCCATCTCCAACATGGGTCTATGACCAGAATTAGGCCTTCTTCCATGTCTCAGCCCCTGAGCATCTATGATTGAATAGTTAAAAAATAGGTCATCCACTAAGAAATATCTAAGAGCAAGCAACCATAAACAGACAGATGGCAGTCTAAATACATACTTGGAAAGCAAACACTGCTCCAAAAGGAACCATGCAGAGAGATCATCTCTGCATAATGACAACATTTTACACAATTTTTCCAAGCATTTTAATTCTTGGAGCCAGGGGATCAGACACTCCCCATTCCAGAGTAAGATTTTTTTTCTCCATTTGCATAAGGCCCATACAAGGTATTTTTCTAGATGTCTCCTCTTTTTGGAGCACAAAACTATATGTGAATGATAAATGATAGTCTTTTTCAGTCTCACTTACTGAGAGATCCAAAATTCTCTGGGTCCAATCTCAGCCAGGTTCCCTTTGTTATATCCACTTTCTGGACACAGGAAACCGAGGTTCTATGAAATGGAATCGTTTGCTTGGATGACACAAGTAGAACATGGGAATGCTGAACTCAAAAACACGAGGTGCACTGGATCCTCTGGTTTTTGTCGCTGGAGCAGGCCAGACTTAAATCTGAAAGGAAATATTGCAGATCACAAAAACAGGCTTTGTGAAGACCAGCCAAGCATGCAACAAACCAGTCCCATTCAGTTTGGGATCGCAAGCAGGACAAACAACACAACAGCCTTCACAATGAACTTCCGTTTCCAGGATGAGAAGGAAACACAGGGACATCAGCTCTTAGGAGACACCTGCAGCAGGCAGGGACCCGAGCCAAAGAATGGGCGCCCAGAAGAGCCTGAGAAGAGAGGACTCAGAAGAGAACACCACAAACTTGGGCCAAGTGTGTCCAGCTGGCTTTGTGCTAAGCTGCAGGCACGTGACAATGACTAAGCCTGGGCTTCCCAAGCCGGTAGAAATGAGAAACAAGTAACTGAGAATTGCAGTCCTCTGATTCAAGTGAGAGGGAGCTCGAGACTAAAACACCCATGGCCGCTCTGGCAGCATGCACACCTGAGAACAGGGAGGGCCTGAGCAGGTGGCCATTCCTTTGTTCTGCCAGCCCCGTTTCACCTGGAGGAGCCTGGGGCCAGCCCTGGCTGGGGCCCAGTGAGATCCTCCCAGGCTCCTTTTCATCCCAGGATATCTCAGCCTTTGAGGTGCAACGCATGACTCTGGCCATTGTCAACAGGCAGTGACACAAAGCACCTGTCGTCTTTGGCCAAGGCCAGCTGAGCAAATGCTTAACTCAGAAGCTTGTGGCAGTTTCTGGAAAAACAAATTACATCAGTGCTTACCCAGGAGTCTCCCAACCAGGCTAAAGAGTGTTCTCTGTGGCTCTGTGAGTATGTCCACCCTGCTTCTGCTCCCGTGGCATGAAGGCACTCAGCCGAGGGTGAAATGGTTCGAGTCTCCATTCTCAGTGTTTCTAGATGCTGTCTAGCAGAGGCCTTGGGAAACCCGGTTAGCAGGGAAGCAGACATCCTGAGAGGTCTCAGCAATGCAAATCCCTGTGCGTGGAGAAGGAGACACAGGAAACCTGTCAAGGTCATGGGCTCCCAGGCAAATAGACATTTAGTGAGTGGCTTTGCTTGGGCTGGGTCCTGGGCAGACATTTCTCTTCCTTATCTCACGCCATTGTAACCTGTGCTCCACCCCATGCCATTGCCCTGGACTCACCTCCAGGCCAGTATTTGACAAAGCCAGCTCTAAAGCAATAGTAATGCAAGTTTACCGCAGACTCCATGGAGACACAGAAAGGACGTCTGCATTGCAGACGGCTAATCACTCAACCTTCAAGACATCCAGTGTGTGAAATGGATACCATGGTTAATAATTACTGTAGCCTCAAAAATTAGGAAGAGGGTAGATTTTAAATGTCCCCACCACACACACAAAAAATAAGTATGTGAAGTAATACACTTGTTAATTAGTTCAGCTGAGCCATTCTACAATGTATACCTATTTCAAAATATATTGTATACAATGTATGCAAGTTTTATCAATTTTAATTAGAGGGCCGGCGCCGTGGCTCACTAGGCTAATCCTCCGCCTTGCGGCGCTGGCACACTGGGTTCTAGTCCCCGTCGGGGCGCCGGATTCTGTCCTGGTTGCCCCTCTTCCAGGCCAGCTCTCTGCTGTGGCCAGGGAGTGCAGTGGAGGATGGCCCAAGTGCTTGGGCCCTGCACCCCATGGGAGACCAGGAGAAGCACCTGGCTCCTGCCATCGGATCAGCGCGGTGCACCGGCTGCAGCGCGCCGGTCGCGGCTGCCATTGGAGGGCGAACCAACGGCAAAGGAAGACCTTTCTCTCTCTCTCTTTCTCACTGTCCACTCTGCCTGTCAAAAAAAAATAAATTAGAAAAAATATTTTAAAATTTTTTATTTGAAAAGAAGCATTACAATGAGAGAGAGAGAGAGATCTTCCATCTTTTAGTTCACTTCCCAAATGGCCACAATGGCCAAAGCTAGGTCAGAATGAAGCCAGGAGCCAGGAGCTACATCTGGGTCTCCCAGATGGGTGGCAGGGTTCCAAGCACTTGGGCCATCTTCTACTGCTTTCCCAGGTACATTAGCAGGGACCTGGCTTGGAAGTGGAGCAGCTGGGACTTGAACCAGGCACTCATTTGGGATGCCAGTGTCATAGGTGGTGGCTTAACCCATTGAGTCACAATGCCAGCCCCCCAAAAGAATGTTAATCCAATGCCTTATTGTCTTCTCCTTTCTCTCCTTCCCAAGTCTCCTTTCTAACTCCTGTGGCAGACCTGGGTGTGTGTGTGTGTGTCCTTTCCCCCACCCTGCCTTCTCTCTCTCTGCCACCCCATGTACAAAGCTTCCTGAAAGCCCCTCCACATCTCTCCCACCACTTGCCTAACCTGTCACACAAAAGTTAAGGGGACAGCATTGTGACATAGTGGGTAAAACCACATATCCCATATGGCACCAGTTTGAGTCCCGGCTGCTCCCCTTCCAACCTGCTAATATGATTGGGAAAGCAGCAGAATATGGCCCAGGTGCTTGGGCTCCTGCCCTGATGTGGGAGACCTGGATGAAGCTCCTGTTCCTGGCTTTGGTCGGGCCCAGCCCTGGCTGTTGCAGACATTTGGAGAGTAAACCAGCAGATGTGACTGTGCACTTGCTCTCTCTCTCTGACTCTCAAATAAATTTACCTTAGACTGTGATTATATCTATATATACATATGTATATATAAATGCACGCACACTCATTAAATTCTCACAATGCTATATTGTGTTAAACACCATATATACATGAATATATGATTTCAAAAATTTTTTACACCAAGAAAAAAAGATAAACATCTTTTAATTCCATATTCCAGGAACTTTCTGAAGTACCTTCATATAGTGTCTACCATAGAATAAGTTCTATAAATATTAGTTATTATTTGTTGATTCACTTATACTTTTTATGATTATTCAGTAGAAAAAATTGTCTACTGGGGCTAGTGTTGTGGAACAGCAGGTCAAGCCACTGCTTACAATGCCAACATCCCATATTGGAATGCCCATTGAATCCAGGTGCTCTGCTTCCAATCCAGCTCCCCTGCTAATGTGCCTGGGACAGGAGCAGTTGATGGTCCAAGTGCTTGAGCCCCTGCCACCCATGTGGGATACCAGGATGGATTTTCAGGCTCCTGGCTTCAGTTTGGGCCAACCCTGGCCATTGCAGCCATTTGAGGAATGAACCAGCAGGTGGAAGATCTGTGTGTGTGTGTGTGTGTGAGTGTGTGTGTGTGTGTGTGTTTCTTTCTCTCTGTTTCACTTGCCTTTTAAATAAATTTTTTTTTTTGACAGGCAGAGTGGACAGTGAGAGAGAGAGACAGAGAGAAAGGTCTTCCTTTGCCGTTGGTTCGCCCTCCAATGGCTGCCGCGGCCGGCGCACCGCGCTGATCCGATGGCAGGAGCCAGGAGCCAGGTGCTTTTCCTGGTCTCCCATGGGGTGCAGGGCCCAAGCACCTGGGCCATCCTCCGCTGCACTCCCTGGCCACAGCAGAGGGCTGGCCTGGAAGAGGGGCAACCGGGACAGAATCTGGCGCCCCGACCGGGACTAGAACCCGGTGTGCCAGCGCCGCTAGGCAGAGGATTAGCCTAGTGAGCCGCGGCGCCGGCCTAAATAAATTTTTAAACAAAGAAAAACTGGTCTACATAGTAGAAACCTCAACTTTTTCAGCCTAGCCTCCTTCTTCTGGGAACAGCCTTTGCCATGATCACTTCTCTACCCATTCCCAATCTCCTGATTTTCATGGAAGCCGTCTGTGAGTACAATATGATCACCCTCCCAAACCAACCCGAGTCATCAGAATTCTTCCCCAGGAATTCTGCAGCTGGAATGGGAAAGAGTTCAGTCTCCAGTAATAAAAGCTGCTACTACCAGCAGCCGCTTGGACTGAGAAGCAGAAAAAGAGAACAAAGAATGAAACTAGTGTAGAAATAGAATACAGAGATCTGTCCAGCCTCTGAGGGTCTGATTCCTCTGCATTCCTCAGCACCAACTGCAGTCTTGCCCTTGCTTTTCAGGAGACAATTCTGCAAGTAAAGGCCTTGTTTTTCTCAAGCTGGCTTGATTTGGGATTTTATTCCTTGCCATGAATGAGTGCTGACTAAATACAGGTCTAATCCAGTAGATTTGGCCTTCATAGATGGGTGGTTCAGGCCTTGAAGGGCACCTCTCAGTCATGATCAATTATCCAAGCCAGCATTAGCTTCCTCACTTTCCTGTTGACTCACTGATATGAGCCCAGAATGAATGGTCAGACAATTGCCTTCACTTGCAGGTTAATGTTGCGACTATTGCTATGTTCCCTGGTGAAAACCTTCCTGCCTTGGGAAATAAGACTTCTAGACCCACAGAGTCTACAATCATGCAGACAATCAGCAAAAAATTTATAATGTGTTGCACAATGTAATAATAAACAGAAACTCATTTTTCATTCCTTAATTTCTATGCCCATAACAACTGGGGATGGGGAAATAGCCACATGTATTGGTCACTAACTCAGAGCACATACAACATCTGCAAGGATATCGCTCCAGCTCTTCAAGGTGTTCCCACCCAGCTGGCACCACAGCTACGTCTCCAAGAGGCCATCCCACCGCTTATCAAGCCAGCTGTTTCAGGACGAACCAGGGAGTTCCAGGAGCATGAGCCCGTTGTCACAACTGCTCTGAGCTTCCTGCTGAGGAGCAATGCTCTGTGAAGAGTACGTCCTGCAGATCCCAGGATGATGACTTTGGCAGAAGCATTATGAACACGGCAGACAGGTGTGTGTCTGTAGTAAGTGTCTATTTGAGTTAAAACACAGTCTGTCCCTTCCCTGTTGGATGCGATCCTTGGTAATCAACCTTCTACCAAGTGGCTGGCTGGTGCTCCCAAGGTGATGGAGCCACATTGAATGTTAGTTGTTGGTCTCAGTTTTGGCGAATTGAACACTCAGCAGTGGTGCCTGGAAGTTCATTTTTCTGAGTATCTCAATAACCCTGTGGACCACTTTGTTTGGCTTCTATTTGACTAAGACAGAGATGGCTGGGGAAAGCAGTTAACAGATGCCCACAAAATAGTTCATCTCACCTACCTGCTCATTAAGAGTCTCTCCTGGGGAGATTACTGTTCAGTAATCACATGAGACACGGTGTCTACACATTCTGTTCAAATTCAGAGAGTTCTACCACATTCCTCTTTCCGAGACCTCTTTGTCATCTGTTTCCCAATAGTTATCTTTCTACAAGTCTTGACTATCCAGCAAAACCATTAACTACTACTGCTGAGTCAATATAGACTCACACTGCCCACCAGGAGAACTTTTCATCACCTCTGTTTTTCAAAGCCACCCCATGGTGGGACTATGGTGCTATAACCATCTACTTTTTTTTTATCGATTTACTTGTGTATTTGAGAGTCAGAGTTACACAGAGAGAGAAGGAGAGGCAGAGAGAGAGAGAGAGAGAGGTCTTCCATCTGCTGGTTCACTCCCCAATTGGCCACAATGGCTGGAGCTGTGCTGATCTGAAGCCAGGAGCCAGGAGCCTCCTCCAGGTCTCCCACATGGATACAGGGGCCCAAGAACTTGGGCCACCCTCCATTGCCCTCCTAGGACATCACAGAGAGCTGGATCAGAAATGGAGCAGCCAGGACTCGAATCGGAGCCCATATGGAATGCCGGCACTTTACCCACTATGCCACAGCACCAGCCCCACAACTATTTTTGAGCAGTGCCAACATACAACACAGAACCACCCGCAAACAAGGCCTAGAATTTCTCCTTCTCAGCAAACTTGTCACAGAGAACTTATCCAGAAGCCAGATATAAGTTTGGGAGAGAAGGGGCAATTTGATAGGAGCATGAGCCACAGGCATTGGTGTTATCTGCTCGTGCAACTTACTTGTGCCTTCAGGACTTGCTTGAGCCTGATCTCAAATAGAACAATTCCATTTGATAATGAAATGCTGCTATGAATAGCTGGCTTTATAGCGTAGGAAGTCAAACAACACC